CTGGGCAAGAAGCTCATGGAGGAGCAACTGGGCTTTTCATCCAAGCTGTGATCTGAACTCCCGGAGTGGAGGCTTCTCTTCAGAGGTCCAGGCCTGGGCACAAAAGAAGTGAGGACTCCATCTTTAATCAGGGGCTTAAATGCAGATGATCTAGGACCTGGACTCCTTCTCTTACTGTCTAAGCTCTCCAGGAATAGCGGTTCTTCCAACCTCATTCTTCCTTTCCTGCACTCTGTGAGGGCCCTCAGCACTGTCTCCTTTGCACCTGGATCTGGGATCTCCTCGGAGGATGAGAACCCTGCAGAGTGGATTACACGTGCTGGGGAAATTGGCGAGGGCGCTTTCCCCTCAGGAGGAGTGATTTTGATGGTCACCGGGCTCCATGTTGCCCTGGGGTGCCTAAGAGACCAAATAGTCCGCTTGAGATAACTTTCCCACCAGTCTGAGGGAAGAGGCCCCACGACGGAATTCTGGGGCCTCTTCATGGGAAAGCGCCTCCAAGCCTCGTTGACCACCCCTGCGGTTGGACTGGCAGGATCCCAGTTAGGCGGCCTCCTGACAGGTCTGTGCCGCGGGGCAGGGTGGGCGCGGTGGACGTGCTGAACCCGATGGACATGGTGAAGGGGCCGAGCTGGCCGGCGGTTCATCGACCTCTCGGGCAAGTCAGTGCGGATCTGGGCTGGGGACAACGGCGAGGGTCCCGGCTTGCTCAGGTAGCTGCCCATAAGGAACGATGAGGCGCGGTCGGTGACTTCGAGTAGGATTTCAGCTCCCCGGGTTTCGGATGTCTGTGGAATCGGCCTGAGTCGAAGCGCGCAGTGACGGTTGGGATCCAGGCGCGAGGAAAGCGCGAGGGTCTCAGAGCGTTCCGTGCCCTCTAGGCCCCGCATTCGCGGGAACAGGGGACACACCCGGCCGGCCTCGGCAGCCCCAGCCGCTTGCTCTGCTATTTGGAGGCCTAGGCGGGGCGCTCAGACCTCTGCTCCCTCCGCGGTGAGCTGCAGCGCGCGGCGCCGGGAGAGGGGCTCCAGAGGAAGCGAGCGGCTCCTCGCCCCGGGTTCCGCAGCGCCGTCTGGGACCGAGTGACCCGGGTTCACCGGCG